AAGCTTAAATAATTTTTGAGAAATTTTAAAAAAACTTTTTAAAAATTATTTTAGCGGACAAATTTGTCCGCTAGACGATTTAAGGGATAAGAAAAATAGTTTTTTAGATCATTTCATAAAGAATGTGTTTCAAAAAGCAATTTGGATTAACTTCTAAATGCTAATAGGAAATTGTTATGTTTAGGTATCTTGTATTTGATTATTTTTCTCACGAGTATCAAATATAAACTCAAAGATTGTAATTAATGTTACACGTGTGTATCACATGGCAGAGTCGAGCAGATAAAAAACCGGATTTAATCCAACTTCATTTTTGCATGGCCGAAGATTCTTCTATAAACGTTGACTCAATTTTGTCTGCTTTAACAATACCAAAAATTCCAAATAATGAATTTGATGCGCATACTTTTTATTATGATTTTGCTAAAAACGTAGCCAATTTTCTTTTACGTAATACTCGACTTCACCTTCCTCCAAAACGTACTTTCACTATTCTCGAAATAGAATTTTATTTACGTGATGAAATTAACGATCATTGTGATCCCTTCAGTCACGGTCATGAACATCAACTAACTTGTGGTGAATGGTACTTTCATCATGTTGGTCGATTTGGTTATCGAGGTGGATCAAGAAAAGGTATCGATATCACGTTTGGATCCAAAAATAGAAATATATATGGTGGAATATTGATACGTGCAATAAAAGATGATGAAACTAATCAAGTAATAGAAGGTCCAAGTTTAGTTGTTGATAAGATTCTGGAATTATGTGGTGTTGATCAGCAAGGTGGTATTCGACAATTGGTAGAAGTTAAATGGAAAGGTCAAAGTGGAATTTCAAAAAATATGGAAAACTTTAATGGTCTAGTATATTTAAAGAAGATCGATGATGAAAATGCTAATAGTGTCGATATATCGATGATTATAGAAAAAAAGAGGCGCAAAAATGCAACTATTGTGACCTCACCTTATTTCGCTCAAACACTTTCAAAAAGGATTAAGAAGGACTATCACGAAGATTCAAGCGCGAACCGATCAACTTCAGAGATTGTTTTATATAGCTCTCCAAGAGTGGGATTAACACTTTCTAATACTCAGCCGTCTCCATCTTGTCGTCTGCGATATTTGTTAAAACCTTATAGATTCTTTCTCTTTCCACACCTTCTTAAGAAAGGCAAAATGCAAATTGTGATCGGATTATACGATCGATTTAAAGACATTGACAAGGTGTCCGAAGTGTCGAATATCAACCGATCTGTAGTAGAACGATGTATTAAAGAGATGACTGCTGGTATGAATAACGGTAATATCAATGACTTTATTGGAAAAAAAGGAAGAGGTGCGAATGGCAATGATTATTATCGTATGGTTGGAGTGGTGAGGAAATGGGAAACAGAAACATACAATAAATTTGAATGCATGCATATATAATTTGTAATGCTTCGTAATAAAATCATATGATGAGACCCTGTAACCACAGTTGTGAATCATAATACTTGTTTAAAGTCGCCTCTCTTTATACTGAACTTTGCAAAAACGAACTAAATGTTCTTAAAAAGTAATTTATATTTATTTACACTGAATACAATAAATTTATGCATTAAATTTGCTTTACTGCATCCGAGTTGGTACATAAAGGAATCTTAATATACAGAATATATTACATACAGAGAGACCGCCCCAAGTGCACTCCATTTAAAAATACCTGAATGTTTTTTCTGTTCTCTGAGAATATAAATTTTATTCTCAAAAAGTTTTTAATATTCTTAGGTCTTCAGAAAATTATTTTCATATACAGTCAGACTTTTCTAAGTGTACATCCTTGGGACGTGCATAGGGTTAGGGGCATGGGAAAATTTTCGGGCATGCCCCCAAAATTTTTTACGTGACAACTTTTTACATATCTAAATTTTTTGAAAAGGGCATGCCTAGGGGCATGCCTCGTGCTCTGTGCCCCCAACCCTAGACGTGCATTTAGAAAATAATAAGAAAAAGTGCATTTTTAGAGGTCAAGTATATATTTGGGCCAGTATCTGTGCGGGCATTTAGAGAGGGTGTGCACTTATAAGAGTGCACTTAGAGAGGTCTGACTGTATAATACAATTTATGAATCTTATGTTCTCAAATAAGAATATAATCTTCTCAAAAATATTTTGTTTTTGAGAACTTTGTGAACATTAGATATTAATACTGGTGCATCCTCCATAAATGCATACTCTCTTTTTAAGTGCATGTATAGTCTAATTCTAGCTTATAGTAACTCTAGATATTTTGCTTTCTATAAATATACATCCACTCTATAGGTGCATATTTGGAATTTTTTATTATAGTTTCGAGAATGTGCATTTAAAAGGTTTTTTCTGTATATAGAATAGTAAAATTTGTATTGTTATAATGTTATAGCTTTTTTTATTAATACAATTGAATAACAAGATAATCAAGGTGTAATAGTTTATTTTACTAAATAGTAACAGGCAAACAGTCAAGATAGTAATAGTATTGTTACAGAGTAAATTTATAATATTACACTAATAGTTTTGTAGAACAATACTTTATAATTTATAGTTTATATTTTAGATAAATTTATATTATATTAGAATTTATATTGTATTTAGAATAGTTAGAATATTAGAATCAGTGTTGGTCACTGGACTGGACCATTCCACTGGACTGGACTGTCCAGTCCAGTGGAACTATATTAATTAGAACTGGAATTAAATTTATAAAACTACATGTAATTATTAATCAATAAAATTTTGTTATTTTAATTATATAAAAACTGTATTATAGTAGATTAAACTATAACTAAATTTAGTAGTTTAGTTTATTTAAAACTAGATTTAATATAGTACTTAATACTGTTTACAATATAGTTTATACATATTAATCCACAAATCAGCATATATATCTAAAGTTAACTATATAAAATCTATATTCAATCAAATTTGTTATTTAGATCATATAAATACAAACCATAGCAAATTGGATTGAAACTGGACTTAGTTCTAGTAGAACAGTCCAGTCCAGTTCAGTTTTTGGCACTGGACTAGCAAAATACCCAATACTGATTAGAATGTATGTCAGTCTATGTTATATACTAGTATGTATCATATATTACTATATACTATATACCACTGTATGTTGTATGCCACTATATGTTGTATGCTACTGTATACTATATACTAGTATATGCTACTTGCTATATAGTTGTACTGTATGTCAGTATATATCACCTGCTATATGATTATATACTAGTATATATCACTTGTCACATAGTTATATATTAGTATATATTAGTATAGTATAACACATATAGTTATATACTAGTGTATGCTAGTATATTCCATATAGTTGTATACTATTGTATATCAACCTAATAGTTATTTAAAGAAAGAATTTTGAATCTTCTTTGTATAGGTGGGCATATATAAATTATTACAAGATTATAATATATAAAATCTAACTAATTGGAGCTAATTTAGACCCTAACTTTAATCCTAACTCTAATAATTTATAAAATTACTTAAATTAGTTCAAAATAGTTATGTTATATATGTTATAATTATAT